CTGGCGCCCACGTCGCGCCTTCTGCACGTCACGGCGCGACCCCGCGCTCCTCGACACCACCAGCGCGGGTGCAGGAAGATGCAGAGAGACCTTACTTGGTAGCCGCTGCCGCCGGGTTCCTCGGCAGACCGCCGACAGCGAACCTGTTGCGCAGCCTGTCACAGCTGCTCGGGCTCTGCCAGCGCCGCCTCAGCCCCACAACAACATGTGAACTGTTGAATGGAAGATGAATTTGTTCATAAACTTTCACCTAAATCACAATTTTAAAAAAAAAGTTACCCTAAGCAAAGATTCTTTATTGGCCATTGTCTGTTTTACTATTGATTTATCCTGTGTTTGAGAAATTTGTAACTATGGTATCAAAAGCTTTTCCTCATTGTGGAAGGTCGACCTGTACTTGTTCTGTTTGGTTGACTTGATGGTGAGAGGGGCATCCCCAGGCCTGACTCAGTTTGTTGAAGAATCCCATGAAAGGCCCAAGTTGAGAAGTTGGTCACGTGTTGCCCAGCTGTTGGCCCATGAGGGCCTTTGTTCCTGGTCCCCCCACCCAGGCCCTGACCAGCCTTTGTTCTTGATTTGGGCAGGTGTGCGACGAGCCCCACCCCTTGCTTGTGAAGGAGATGATCCAGCACTGTGTGAATGCCGACATTGACGAAGCCTACAAGGTTTGCTGCCTCCTGAAGCGCAAAGAACCTTTCACTTGAGCACTGCTAGAGGGAACCCGGACCATGCTTGGGACCTGACGCGCATCGCTCCATTTGATTCTTAAAATACTGCTAGGAGTGGGGTTTACTTTACAGATGAGCAAACTGACGGAGAGGTTAAATGCCTTGCTCTAAATCACAGTGTTAGAAAATAGTAAACCTGGAATTCACAGTCAGGTCTTTCTGTTATAATGACATCTTCTGCAAGAGGACTTATCTCAACCTAAAATGAGAAAATAGGAGCTCTGATTGTGCAGTGGTTAAACATTCAGCTGCTAACCAGAAGGTCGGCAGTTCAAACCTACCAGACGCTTTGCAGGAGAAATGTGAGACCATATGTTTCTGTAAAGATTTATAGCCTTGGAAACCCTATGGGGCAGTTCTACTCTGTCCTATAGGGTCACTATGAGTTGGCGTCAACTTGGTGGCAATGGCAATAGATAAGACGGGAAGAAGGACCAGTTCAACTCCTTGCTGTCCAGTGAAGCCATCTTTTTCTCTGGTCGTGGGGAGGCATCCTTCTCCGTCCTTCTGGGAGATGATGAGAACAGGCCTTCTGTGTGCAGGCTAGAATCCCCCTGGTCCACCAGAAGAGGTCCACCAGGCTTAGAGAGCCCGGTTCTGTAAGCAGATCTGTGCATGATTCGGGTTGAAGTGATCTTCAAGTCACATAGGTGGCAATGGTGTAATCTTCAAGTCACATGGGTGGCATTGGTCTGATCACAACAGGTGCTTTCCCTGCCTTCCCCCCAACTAAACTAGGTTAGAAGTTAACTGGGTTTAGGGTAGGGCTGGACGTAATGAGCAACTGGAGGACAAGGCTGGGGGACTGAGGCAGAGGTCCAGGCACAGGACTGGGTCACTGAGTAGGTCCAAAGGAAGGCTTCACATTGATGGACACAGAACATTCCCAGCCCCCGAATTCACCCCACGATGCCAAAGCAAAGGCAGAAAAGACTGATTCCAGGCCCTTCAGTCTGAAGCCGGGGGGAGAACTGGGGACTGGGCTTTCTAGGGGGGAGGCTGAGACTACTGCCGGTCTCTGCCCTGGTCAGGATTTCTTAGGGCTGACCCTGCAGGGGCGTGAAATATGCCTCCAGCAACTAGGGGAAGCGTAGTCAATGTCCTTGTTGTTAGGTGCCACTGAGTCCCGAGCCTCCAGCTCTCGGTGGGTCTTTATACAACAGGACAAAGCACTTCCCAGTCCTGTGCCATCCTCGGCCATTGCCAGGCTTGAGCCCCTTGATGCAGCCACTGCAGGTCCATGTCCTTGAGAGTCTGCCTCTTTTGTGCTGACCCTCCACTTTACCAAGCATGATACCCTCCTCTAATAACATGTCCTAAGTACGTGAGATGAAGTCTCACCAAGGAGCATTCTGGGTATACTTCTCCCAAGACACATCTGCTCATTCTTCTGGCAGTTCACAGTACATTCCATGTTCTTCACCAGCCCTGTAATTCAAAGGCATCAATTCTTTGGTCTTCCTCATTCGTTGTCCAGCTTTCACACACATATGAGGCGATTGAAAAGACCATGGCTTGGGTCAGGCGCACCTCAGTCTGCAAAGTGAAATCTTTTCTTTTAAACACTTGAAAGAGATCTTTTGCAGCAGATTTGCACAATGTGTCATTTGAATTTTTGACAGCTGCTTTCATGGATGCTGATTGTGGGTACAAGTAAAATGAAATCTTTAACAAGTTCATTCTTTTTTCTGTTTATCATGATGTTGCTTGTTGGTCCAGTTATGAAGCTTCTTGCTTTCTTTTTATTGAGGTGTAATCCATGCTGAAGGCTGTAGTCTTTAATCTTCATCAGTAAGTGTTCCAAGTCCTCTTCACTTTGAGCTACCAAGGTTGTGTCTTCTGCATATTGCAGGTTGTTAATGAGTCTTCCTTTAGCCCTGATGCCATGTTCTACTTCATACAGTCCAGCTTCTCAGATTACTTGTTCAGAATATAGGTTGAATAAGTATGGTGAAAGGATACAACCCTGACTCACCCCTTTCCTGATTTTAAACCCTACAGTAGGATGATTGTTTTAAGAGCTTTGGATAAGGCCATTCATTACATGGGATGGTAGTAGACCTTTGTACAATACAGTTTAAAACATTTGCAGTGTACCCCTGCCTGCTGGAAAGATCAGTTAAATTATCCCTCATGATCCAAAAGGCGTGGCAAACTACAGTATCATTTGGCCCACCAGCAGCTCTGTGGCATTCAGGTGATTCTCAAAATCACATGAGTTGTCTAAGTTGATCTGTCTGCTCCCAGAAAAGACTGTATCAAAATGTGATAGACCCAAGATTGGTGTGGGTTTGACTTCGGTTCACCCAAGAATCCTTACAGTTTACAGTGGTAAGTGGCCTCACTGTGTCTTCTGTCTAGATTCTTGCTCACCTGTGGCATCTTGGCTATTCACCAGAAGACATCATTGGCAACATCTTTCGAGTGTGTAAAACCTTCCAAATGGCAGAATACTTGAAACTGGAATTTATTAAGGTCAGTAAGAGTATGGAAATGCCTGTTTTCTAAAGAATGTGGGTATGTGGGTGCTTTTTTGTTTTGCTTACAGACTTGGCACCTGGAAGATACTCGATGAGTGTTCCCTGACTGCGATGGAAGGGAGGGGGGTGGTCGGCTGTCCTGAGGACCAGCCCAGCTGGTCAGTGGCCTGAGTGTTTCTTAGGATGACTCCTTGATGGTGGACTTTTTTAAAATAATTTTATTTTATTTAGGTCAAGTTAATTGAGGTATAGTTTAATTGTGGTAAAATTCAGCCTTGTAAGTACGTTATACTGACAAATGCATTCAGTTGAGAAAACAGAGAATCACAGTCCACACAAAGAAGCAAGATAAAACAGAAGAAACAAGGAACCAGGATACAGACCCAAAACACATCCCTGAGGAAGACACAGCATTGGAACTCCCTGATAAGGAATTCAAAAGAATTATATTTAGGTATCTTCAATGAATTGAGAGACAGATCAAGGAAAACACAGAGAAAACCATAGAACAATTTCAAAAGACAATACAAGAACAAAATGACAAAATAAATGAAAAATTAGAAATGATACAAAATCTACACAGAGAAATCCAGAAGATTAATACTAAATAAGATAAGACATTGAATGAGCAAAGGAGCAAAATTGAATCAATGGAAGACAGAATTGGTGAGATTGAAGGCAAATACCTGAACATTTCTTTGGAAAGGGATCAATCAGAAAAAAGATCAGGACAAAATGGATAAAGACTAAGGTTCATGTGGGATATCATCAAAAGGAATAACCTACATGTAATCGGAATTCCAGAAGAGGAAGAGACAAATAAAATCACAGATAAAATTGTCAAAGATATGTTGGAAGAGAATTTTCCTGATATGATGAAAGATGAGAATATATCCATTCAGGAAGTCCAACGAACCCCAAACAGGATAGACCCCAAAAGAAAATTACCGAGACATATCATCATCAAATTCACCAAAACCAAAGACAAAGAAAGAATCCTGATAGCAGCACGAGAAAAACTAAAAGTTACCTACAAGGGGCGACCAATAAGACTAAGCTCAGATTTCTTGGCAGAAACCACGCAGGCATACACACAATGGAATACTATGCAACCCTAAAGAATAACCTAGAATCTGCAAAATACTGCATAACGTGGATGAACTTGGAGGGTATTATGCTGAGTGAAATAAGTCAGTCACAGAAGGACAAATAATGTATTAGTCTGTTATTGTAAAAATCAAGGAAAGGTTTATCTATGGAAGTAAATTTTCTTTCTTGGTTACCAGGGGTGGGAGGGGTGGGTAGGGAACACTGTTAGATAGGTAGAGATAAGTATTGATTTGGGTGGAAAGAAGGGCAGTGTACCAAATGTGAGTGATCAACATGGTGGCATTGAGGAAGAAGAAGAGAGAGGTACATGGGAGGTACAGACAATGAAGATGAACCCTTTTACACAGTATTGTGTTGTCAGTGAAGGCAAACATGGGTATACAGGTGGATAGATGGGTGGACAAGCTGAACTATTAGGTATGTCTATGAAGCAGGGAGTGTACCCAAGACTATGTATAGCATTGGCAGACAATGGTCCTATAAGTGTATTTGTATGATCTGAATTCCCAGGTGTATAGTAGAGCTGACAAGGGACAAGGTTGTAGTCACATATTGGTCACAGCCAGCTATCCAGAGGGACCGAGTAGTTGAACCTGTGGGCTCGGGACCATAGTCACAGGGGACATCAAGCTCCGTTGGCATAACATACTACACAAAACATTGTTCCAACCCCTACTTTGGCAAATAGCGACTAGGATCTTAAAAGCTTGCAATCAGCCATCTAGATGCAATGATGGGTCTCTCGTCCAGAGCAGATAAATGCAGAAAACCAAAGATTCATGGAAAGTATTAGTCCTAGTGACTGATAACAACATGCGATCCTCAGCCTATATGACTATGAGACCAGAACTAGATGGTGCCCGGCTACCACTGTCAACCACTTGGAGGGGGATCTATGTAAGAAATCCTGGATAGAGAGGGAGAAAAATGTGGAACAAAACTCAAAATCATTTGGGAAAAAAACAGGGGGACCAGGTTGGCTTGTCTGATAGAGCCTGGTGGAACCACAGAGACTATGGCCCCTAGCTGCCTTTCAGGTCTGGAATTGAACCCACACTTGTGGCTTCCAGCCAAGCAAAAGACAGGCATAGGAGCTGAACATTTACCTGACATAAATACACTCCTTAGAACAATCATGGGAGAAAGAAGGGCTGTATGTGCACAGGGAGACAGCTCAGGGGGCAGGGGTTCATGGAGGGATGGACACAGGGAAGAGGTGACTATCGGGAGGAAGTGGGAGGGGAGCTGTTGGATTGTGAATTGTGGTCAATGTCATGAGACAAAGTGTATGTGAACTGCTGTATGGAAAGTCAATTTGCTCTGTAAACTTTCACCCAAATAAAAGAGAAAAGAAAAGAAAGAAACCATCCATGCAGGCGAGAAGACAATGGGATGGTGTATATAAAACCCTGAAAGAGAAAAACTTCCAACCAAGACTTATGTACCCAGCAAAATTGTCCCTTAAATATGATGGTGAAATTAGGATATTTCCAGATAAGCAGAAATTAAGGGATTTGTTAAAACCAGACTAACCTTACAAGATACGCTAAAGGGAGCCCTTTGGACAGAGAAGCAACAACAGCCAACAACAACTGACCATTAACACACATGAAGATATAACCCAGAAAACAACCGACCTATGGAAGTATCCAAAGTAAAGAAGCCTACAAGATTGTAAACAGGGAACCAGAGACACCAATTGACAACTGAGGATAACTACAAACCAAATAGAGGGGAAAAAATTGTATCATTACAGAACTTCTAGATGGTAGGGAAGTCCAGACAACTACAAGATAGAATAGACTGTTCTAAACTTGGGAAGAAAACTGTAAATCACAGGGTAACCTCAAAGAAAAATGATAAACCTTCACATCAAAATAAAAAAGAGGACCAGCATAAATATTTAGCCAATACTAAAACAGTAGCAACGAAGGAAGTGATAACACGATTCATAAACAAACTGAGCTTAGCACAGAAAATTATATGGAACAAAGAAATTGACACCACGAAAAAGCATGTAACAAAAGTGACAGCAACAAATTCATATTTGCCAAGAATTACATATCTAGCAAGGGCCTTATCTCTAAGATTTATGGAAAACTCCAATGCCTTAACAGCAAAGGGATTAACAATCCAATTGAAAAATGGGCAGAAGACATGAATAGACACTTCACCAAGGAGGATATTCAGGTGGCCAGAAAATACATGAAGAGATGCCCACAATCATTGGCCATCAGAGAGATGCTAATCAAAACAACAATGAGATACTGTTCAAGGACCTTGATAAGGTTCAAGGAGACAGAAAATAACAAATGCTGGTGGCGATGTGGAGAGATTGGGACTCTCATACACGGCTTGTGTGACTGTGAAGTGATACAACCACTGTGGAGAGCAATATGGCGATTCCTTAGAAAGCTGGAATTGGAGATAGCATTTGACCCAGCAATCCCATTACTAGGTATACATCCCAGAGAGGTGAGAGCCAGGACAGGAACAGATACATGCACACCCATGTTCATTGCAGCACTATTTACAATAGCAAAAAGATGGAAACAACCTACATGCCCATCA